GCGGATTGAAGGGTCCCAGGTTCGATTCCGGTCAAGGGCATGTACCTGGGTTGCGGGCACATCCCCAGTGGGAGATGTGCAGGAGGCAGCTAATCGGTGTTTCTCTCTCATCGATGTTTCTGACTCTCTGTCTCTCTCCCTTCCTCTCTGTGGAGAATCAATAAAATATATTTAAAAAAAAAAAAGAATTAGGATTAACCCAATTTTTGTCTACCTAAAATCCTATTTATAAAAAGAAATAAAAGGGTCAGACATGGTGCCCAGTGTTCAATAAATGTTCTCTGTCGTTCTTGGATATCCTTTTTATTATGCGCATTATCTGCACACCCCTAGCCAGCTGTTCTTGATGTCTGCCCCAGGCTATTGGCGAAATGGGTCCTCAAACTCAAACTTCCCAGAAACAGAAAGCCCAGCCCCAGGTAGGCCTCAGGCCAGGTGCCCGTCCTGTGAGCGGACACCAGTGGGGAGCGGTCATTGAGGTGCTCACTCTTGGGTTCAGCAAGCATTGGGGATGGGAATCCCTGTTAGGAGAAGAAGCCACAGGGATTGTAATGCAACCATAGGAAGCTTAGGCGCTAGAGTTAGGTCTATGTTTGATTCTTGGTCCTGTTATCTATGTGGCTTTAGACAAACGACTGTGCCTCTCGGAGCCTCACTTGGTTCCTGTGTAAAACAGGGCAAAAGCAGTATCTACCTCACAAGGTCATTACCAGGATTAAATGAGGTAATCAACACAAAATGTTTAGCACAACATCTGGAACATCACTTACGATCTCAAAAGCACTACCTGCTTCATCATTGGGTCTCCCAGGCCACCCCTGGGACTGCTTGTTTCCCAGCTTCGGTGAGGGAGGTGGTGCAGACGCTGAAAGTGGAAACAGCTGCCATGTTGTGTGGGGGGTGAATGTGTGTGTCACAGTTTTCCACTTCCTCCTGGAACCATTTCCTTTGTCAACTAAACAGGGAGGAATCCGCAGACAAAGGAACAATTCTGGGAGAGCCCAGTCCCACAGCCTAAAGTTATTTCCTTAGAGGTCAGTGGCTTGCCCCACCCCCTCCTGTCTAAAAATGCTCCTTGAAGAGGGAGCTATGATTCCTGGTGCCCAGGCCTGAGAAACCAGGTGCCCGGAGCAAGGGCGCTGCTGGTGGAAGACAGGAGCTAGGCAGAGCTAGAAAGGCCACTAAGATGCAGGGCTTTCACTGACCCTGTCACCCTGCACCACCACCTGCTGCCCCACTGACCTGTGACCTCCCTGACTTCTGGCCTCCCTGTCTTCCAGTAGATGAGAGAATTGTACTACTCTACTATCCCTAATTATAATCCCCACGGTTGACAAACTCTTTCCTAGCCATTCCCAATGCCCCCTGACACAGACCTACACATGGGGATTCTACACCCCTCATTACAGAAGAGGAAAATGACACTCAGAGGAGCTACTGACTTATCCCTAATTCGACACTAGTAAGTGGCAGGAGTTAGAACCCAAACCAGATCCTTATGCCAAATCCCAAATCTTCCAACTTTTCTTTACCACCTCCCTTCCTTGGGATTTTGTTTCTGTCCCATGGAGTCAAACTTGTACTATTCTCTTCAGCATAAAGGATATTCCGTTTCCTGCCAAAGCTTTAATTAACACACACAAAAGTCTTCCAAGGTGACCTCGCTCCCCCTTGCCCTCCCTCACACCAGCGCTATATTTAACTCCTGGAAAGCAGTCGGCACTGAGGCATTGGCTTTGCAGCTGGGATTTCTTTGCTACTCTTTTTTCATTCTTTTCCAGCCCTATGGTCTCCCCTGTATACTCTGAGACAACAGGAAGTGTTTGTTTTAGTGATCAACAATGCTAGTCCAACCAGTGTGGTCCCCTCCAATGGCCTTCTCTTGGGCTTAGAGAAATGCTTGTAAATTCAAAGGAAGGAAGTGGGATGTCCCCGTGGCTCCAGATGGGTAGATCTGCAGCAACTTGGAAGAGACCTTGGGCAGGGGAAGGAGAGATTTCTGCACCCCTGAGGTGAAGGGGCAATTCTACTGGCCTCGCCTGTATGGCTGGGGCTTCTCGGCTGCTTTACCCAGAGCTGGACATAGACAAAAGTAGCCCCCTGAAGGAGCATGGGGGAGGCATCCCTTAGTAGCTCCTCAATATTCTTCCCATTCTGCAATCCTCGGTTCCCACACCTACAAAATGGGCTAGCCCACCTTGCCATAAGAATGAAATTATCACTCTGGCCAGTGTGGCTCAGTTAGCTTGGTGCAGTCCCGTGCACCAGGAGGTTGCCAGTTTGATTCCTGGTCTAGGGCCCATGCCTGAGTTTCAGGCTCGATCCCCAGTTCAGGAGGCAGCCAATTGATGTTGTGCTCTCACATCGATGTTTCTCTCGCTCTCTCTAAAAATCAATAAACTATTTTTAAAAAAGAATGAAATTATGTAAATACACATGTAACTCTCTTAAAGCAGAGTATGACCTACATGATAATTATGGAAGAGTAATGTACATAGCTAACATGTATTGAGTACTTACTATGTGCCAGACACTGTTCTAGGCACATGCTCATGTATTAGGGCCCATTCACACTGATGAGGTGGTATATTCACAGGTCACCGATGATGTACATGAGGAATGGGGCGGTTATGTGAGTGTCCCAAAGGTACACAGCTAGGAAATGTGGAAACAGGACTTGAACTCGAGTAGTTTGGGTCGCTCAATATATGTTAGTTTTAATTTCCTAATTTATATGTTAAGATTAAAATCCACCAACTACAAAATGGGCATCACTAAATAATGGGCAGCCATACCCACACGAGGGGTACAAGTTCAACCAAAACGGGGTTTGGGGAGCTTAGCCAGTTGGGCTTCTGGTTCCTTTGGTTACCCAGGGCTCTTGGTTCTTCTTTTTTCTTTTTTTGAGCATCTTTTTACTATGCTGAGCCACTGTGAGGACAGGCCTGGTTTTCAAATCACATTAACTAGTCATTATACTTTATCAACTCGGAAGAAAAGTTTGCTTCCAGAATTCATTCATTCCACAAATACTTAAGCACTTATCTGTGTCAGGCACTAGAGAAAGCAGGCACTATTCCTGCCCTCAGGGAGTTCGGGCTCATGTAGGGGAAACGGACATTAATCGAAGAAAGACGTAAGGAGAATGATGCTAGGATAGCATACGTAGGGGAGTGGTTGCGGACCGGAGGACAGGGAGTTTCCCTTAGGAAGTCAGAAGTGAATTGAGAGCAGAAGGGGGCGGTACTGGTTTCAGGAGAAGGGAGTTCTGACAGGCAGAGGGAATAGCATATACAAAATCCTGGGTTAGGAGGCTGGGGGGCAGAGCATGAAGGCAGCCTGGAGGGAGGTCTCTTTGGAAGGGCTGCGGGGTGGGCAGGCCCAGGAGAGGTTCCTCTGCCTTTCCTTCCCCCACCAAGCATGGAGGTCACACCTGTTGAGTGTCCTGCTTTCCTTTCCAGGGCGACTGGCCCTCCACTGCTGTCATGGGTCATACCTCAGTGATGTGCTAGGTCGTTAACACACGGCATACAGAGTCATCTCTAAAGTCAGGTTCAAAGATGTCTTAATTAGTGCACTAGTTCTTTCTCCAGGGCAGGAGCCTTTATGAGATGGAAATTGGGTGATTTTGCTTGGCTGTTTGGAAATGAGAAAGGAAAATTAAATAAACCAAAAGAAAAATTGTAGGCCCTGCATAAAACCACATTCTGCCAACTCTTCCTAGTTTCCAGCTTTAAACCATGCTGCTTGCCTTTCCTCTGATTATGAGAACAAAGAAGGATGAGTTATCTTTGTCCTAAAGATGCTTGCCAAGTAGTGAGGTGGGGAAAGGAGAAATTGTGTTTCCTCCTACTGCTCTGCAGTGACTGAAATCCTAACTTGAAAGCTTTGCCAAGCATTTTTGTAAATTCCAGGCTAAAAGGTGACCAGGGTGAAATCTGAAGTCAGAGCACCCTCTGAGCCTACCTAGTGCGAAGCAAAACAAAGGTTGTTATTCTGTGGTTTGCTGACGTTTAATTTATTCACTTCTCTCTTGTCATGCAAATTACACTCGTTACCTTTGGGTTCTCTAAATGAATCCGCCTTCCCCGCACTGGGTCTGCACTGGCAGTGAGGAGCCTGTGGCTTGAGGGTTTCACTCTCAGGCCGCATCAGGGGTGTGGGCTGGGGATGCGGTCCTGGCAGCAAGGAAGAGTGCTTTCCTGCCTGTGGTTTCATTTCTGCTCTATACCTTTTGATTTCAGTTACGTAGGGAGGGTGAAGAAGCAAAGAGAACATTGGTGTCAGCCTTGGTTGGGTATTCACCAGGAACAATAAGCACTTTGTGGCCTAATCTTAGATGTATTTTTAAATACGTTTCTAATTTTATTTGGCGAACTTTTTTGCATCCCAGAGAACAATTATCGCCCATCTGGGGTTTCTGTGCCTGGCCTGTCCCACATAGTGAAAGACTGAAGACTTATAAACAATGATTAAACCATTTCTTCCTGTGTTTTTTCCTCATTGGGATTCACTGTATCTCCCCAAGGCTCAACTAAACCAAACAAGATCAATGAAATTTATTCGTGGCTCTAAATAAACTTCAGACATAAAAGACAGCCCTGTCCTTGATGCCCCTGCCTGCACTCAGAAAGCAGAAATGATCTAGGCCAGGAGCAAAGAAGGGGGTTGGGGGTGGATTAGGGGTGGGTGAAGGAGATCTTTCCTGGCAGGATGGCAGGAACGGGATTTCTGGGTTGCATTACTGTCCCTCCAACTGGAAGATGCAGTCCCCTCACCTGACATGGAGGGGTCCTCAGAAAGTGAGCACTGAGGGAAGTGGATCCACTGCCATAGGCGCCCCAAGCTCAGTGTCGGGCCCAGGGCTGGCAGAGTCCCCTGATGTCCTCTTGCCCCAGCTCCCCTCTCCCTCGTGCCGACCACTGCACCTGAGGCTGCCGGAGCCACATATGGATGAACAGAGCACCTGCTGGGTGCACTGAACGCCACAAGCATCGCTTCATCCCGTCCCCACGATGGCCATGGGAAGCAGCTACTGTTACTGCCCACACTGTTCTGGGAAATGGCAGAGCTGGGAGGGGGCCCAGGTGGTGCCCAGCGTTGCTCCTCTATGACTCTTCTAAGCTTCAAGCTTGGTGCGGATGTAATACAAGGTACTTTCATTTTCAACTGGTTGTGTGACCATAACTAAGTCAAATAACCTCGACCCTCACTTTCCACCTCGTTAAACTAAGAGTTAGAACCGTGTTCTCTGAATAAATGCTCCCTGGGCATCTACTATGGTTGAGGCACAGTCCCTGTCCTCGTGGAACTTGTCACAGCAGCTGCAGCGGACCTGTTGCTGAGTACTCTCTGATCAACACTGTGGGGTCTGCATCGTTGTGGGGAGTTTAAGAACAGCAGCAACAACAGTACCACGGCCCTCACGGAACGAGGGCTGGCTCAGGCACAGCACCATCCTGAGTGCTTGCAAGCACGGCCTGGCCTAGTTCTCCCAGCCTAGGCGGTCGGGGTCCTATTATTCTCGTTTTACAGGTAAGAAAAGCTGGGCTCGGAGATCTCTAACATGCCCGTTCTGTACAGCTTGGAAATGGCAGCACAGGAATTCCGATTTGCACAGGTCTGACCCTAGAGCCCACTCACTGTGCTCTTCTAAGCTAGGCTCCACACCCAGCTAGTTATCATTTTCTGTAGGGACTCTTCTTCCCACCTTGACTCTCCGTCATTTCAGGAGGGGGTGTCTACTGATACGTTTTTAAGGAATGAGAGAGTTCTTCCCTCGTTCCCTGTGGTCACAGACATTCCCCGTAGTATGTTTTTTGGTGGCGTAGTTTTCAGAGATTGAACCTTGGACTGCCTGCATCAGAATCACCTGGGGTGCTCATTCAAGTGCAGATTCCTGGGTCCCCGTACAGGGTCTACTGAATCCGACTCTCCTGATAGGAGGTCTGGGAATCTGCATTTCCAACTAACCTTCTGGGAGAGTCTTAGTCTTGCTAAAATGTGAGCCTTGGGTATGGATGAACTCTGGCAGAACAGTCTGTCATATGCATTATATGATTTTTCTACAAATTCAGTTCCCTGTGGTTTAAATCTCTGAGGCTTGAATTATCTGGCCTTAAAGACAAAGCTGCCCTCAGAGGCACCTCTGTGTTCGCTGCACCTGACAGCCAGCTTGCCGGGGAGTTCCGTGTTGTCCCTGAAAACCCGAGTCCTGGCTGAAAGCTTTCCTGCGCGAAGATAAGGTTCTCTCTGGGATGAGATCCCACTGTTAAGTCAGGTGTGTGCTTTGCGTGACTTGTTTTTCTTCTAGGAGATATTCATAGTCTGGGCTCTGAAGTTCAAAGGGCCAGTGGGGAGAGGCCCACTGCGCAGGAATTCCAGACCCACAGGCAGGGGCTCTCACCCACCCAGTGAGGGGACCCCCCCCCAGGTCAGGGGCCCCAGTGAAGTCATAGCCCAGAGCCCTCAGCGGGAGGGCTTTGAGGGGCTGCCCGCCTGCTCCCCACCCCAGCCTGGCCTCTGCTGCTCCGAGCCAAAGTCTGCTGATGGCGGATTCAGGAGGGGGGGGGGGGGCAGGGTTTGAAGTCGGAAAAACCTGGGCTTAAGGCCCGGCCTTACTGTTTACTGGTTGGATGATCTCATTCCTCCAAGCCCCCGTTTCCTGCCTTGTAGGGTACAGACGGCAATAAGCATACCTCTTGCGTGGTTTATGAGGATTAAATGAGATGACGCAGGCTAACTCCCAGCACACGATAACGGCTCAGTTCTAGGGAAGGGTTCTTACCCGCTCCCTGCCTGCAAGCGGAACCCCCCCACCCCCACCCTCATGCTCCTCAGCAGCTGCGCTTTAGAAATGCTACACGACGCTCCCTCCGCCACCTGCTGCCTGCCAGCGCCTGCCAGGCTGCAGGACCAGCCCTGGGATCTCCTCACGCCCCCTCTGCTTCGCCCAGGTCCACTCAGTCCCCTCAGTCTCCTTCGCATTATTTGGACTTTTACGGTCATATCTCAGTTAAACGAAAAACACTTAGAAGTCAAGGTTCCATGTTAGGAACCCCATCAAGGACCCGGAGAAAACAAAACAAAAAGTGTTACAAAGCCTGAATACTGTAGCTCATGTTTTTAAATGCAGAGAGCTCACTCGCAACCCAATTGGCATTGCTTTAGAAACAGTCACGACACACCTTAAGTCAGAGGCAGGAGAGTGTGGGAAGCAGGAATGCTGCCACACATAGGCGCTTGCTGAGAGCAGCAGGAAGAAACCCTTGAAAACTCACAGCCAAGAGGAAGAGAGGATGGGAAAAAAGGGAGGGAAGGGGGAGAGAAAGGAAGGGACAGAGGGGACAACTGGTTGGAATATTATTATCAATTAAAAGGAATAAAATGCCGATTCACTTAGATGAACTGTGGAAACTTTATGCTGCCTGAAAGAAACCAGTGACAGAAGGCCACATAGTGTTTTGGTTTTTTCCTCTAACTGATATGCAATGGTCAGAATAGACAAATCCATACAGACAATAAATAGATTAGTGACTCTCAGGGCTGAGGATGTTGGGAGTAATGAAATTATTCTAAAATTGATTGTGGTGATGGTCTCACAACTCTGCGAATATAATGAGAACCAATGAATGTACATTCTTTTTAAAAAAATAGTCCGAAAAGTTTGATGTCATTCATTGAAGGACAGTAATTCTCTAGAAGGTGTGGTGGGGGCGCATCTAGGAGGTCCCCAAGATGTTTTCAGAGGTCAAAACTATTATTAAGGTCAAAACTATTATTAAGGTCAAAACTATTATTATGCAGTACTAAGGCCGTACATGGCCTTTTCACTCTCATTGTCTCGTGGGTGTGCAGTGGAGTTTTTCCAGAGGTTACATGACATGTGATGACATGGTAGCTCTGAAGGCTAATGGGATGTGTGCCTCTGTATTCTTGTGTTTTAAATTTCTCTCGGTCTTAATTCTTAATACAGCCAATGTTGACAGATATAACGCACATAAAACAAAAGCTCATTGGGGTACTTGATAATTTTTTAAAGTGTAAAGGAATCCTGAGGCCAAAACATTTCAAAACCACGTATCGAGAGAGAAACTGCCACTGAACCCCATAGTCGTAGCATTCCTGCCTGACAGCAGAGCAGTGTCGTGGGTTTTCAACTATGAACCCTGACTGCAGGCCACAGAAAGCTCCCCTGGTGCCCCACAGGGCTTTCCCTGTAGCTTTCAGCATGGCCTCCCTGTGAGCATTTACTATGTATGGGCACAGCATTTTTCATGCCTGACATACCTCATCTTCACAGGGACCCTCAGAGGCAGGTGCTGTTATTACCCCCTTTACAGAGGAGGAAACCGAGTCATAGGCTAAGTAACTTGTCAAAGGTCCCACAGCTAATGGATGATGGAGCCTGAACTTGAACCCAGGCAGTCTGGCTCCAGGGTCAGCTCTCTTAAGCAGGATGTTCTAGCTCCTCTTCGCCATCCAGACCCTGTAGCTACAGGTCAGTCTCACCACTTCCCCAGGAGGGCCCAGGGTGGGAAGAAGCGCATGGAGTTGAAAGTCATGATACTAGAGTTGAAGTCCTGGCTCTTCTGCTTGCGTCTGTGTAATTCAAGCAAGTTATTTATCTTCCCTGAGCCTTGGTTTCTTCACCTAAAATGTTAGGGTGATCATGGGACCTCTCCCAAAACTTGTTGGTGGGATTCTATAAAATACTGCAAAGCAATATGGTGCTATGGGGAACCAGGTCCAACCAAGGCTGTGCTGGCTGTGTGACTGGAGCAGTTATTTATCCACTCCGAGCCTTAGTTTCATCCTCCATATAATGGAGATAATAAAACACTTGATAGGAGATTTAAATAAGACTGCAAGTCTGAAAGGGCTTAGGCAGCTCAGCACAGGTTAGCTGTTGTTATGCACAAGGGATTGGCGAGTTGCAAAGCAGGACAATACTAGTACTGTAATGAGGCTGGTCTTTAGCTCTAAGGCAAACCAAGTTCCTGTTACTCTTCGGGACAGGGAGACATCAATGACATCATGGTCTTGGCACGCTCCAGCTTTGAAAGGAGTCTGTGCCCTAGGATTTTGCAACTCCCTGTGGTCTCAACCAGCAGCAGCAGCAGCTGGGAGCGTATCAGCAATGCAGACTCTCAGGTCCCACCCAGGCCTCCCGAGTCAGAATCTGCATTTTGACAAGATCCCCAGCTAATTCCTATACACACTCAAGTTTAAAAAACACTGGTGTCGCATGGAAAGAAAGAATGGTAATGGTAGATTTTGGCCTGGGATGGGAAGGGTTAATATTTAGTTTGGCTCCTGCCAAGGCACCGGAAACAGAAGGTTCCAGAGATTGAACTGTATGGACTGATGGGACAGGAAGGCTCCCTTCCTGCCTGTGTCCTGGACTGCCAGGGCTCCAGCCTGGGGCCTGCACTGAGCCTGGGGCAGTGGTGAGGAAGGGCCTCGGGCCTGCAAAGCAGAGGGCATGCTGGGACAAAGGGAGGCCTAAGTGCCTCTTCTCGGGCCACCTGGACTCAGAGTTGCCGGAATAAGCCTGGGAGGTTCAGTCCTCAGGCTAAGGCCACATGAGGTCTGAGGCAGAGTGGAGAAGCCCAGAGGAATGTCACAGTTAACTGAGCAGGGCTCTCCCAAGGTGGCCAGCCCTGGGACAGCTGTGTGAAGGCCTCTGAGGTCTCCCTGTTGCACCCAGCCTCGCCCTCTGTCCCCTGTTCCCCTGGCCTCTAGGGGGTGGGAGCAGGGCTGGGTCCCGGGATCCGGGGTGCAGCGCTGTAACCATGCTTCCTCTGCAGTGCTGGAGCAGCTGCTCCCCGAGCTCACGGGGCTGCTCAGCCTCCTGGACCACGAGTACCTCAGCGACACCACCCTGGAGAAGAAGATGGCCGTGGCCTCCATCCTGCAGAGCCTGCAGCCTCTCCCAGGTCAGGCGTCAGCACTCTGCCCAGAGCCCCTCAGGACCCTCAGTAGCTCCCCAGGGCTGCTGGCAGGAGGAAGCCCAAGCCTCACAGCATAGCATTCAACACTGTGTGTGGTCTGGCCAATGTCCTCATCCACTTCGGCCCTTCTCCACCACAACCCTGCCTGTACTGTGTGTGCTTCTCCAACCCCAACGCACTACAGATTCACACACACAATGCACATGCCACACACAGGTACACACCACAAACCACACTCACACGTACACCACATTCTCACATACACCTCACATGCATAGCACATCCATAGCAAATATACACTACATGTGACACACACCACGCTCTCACCAACAGCATGCACTCACATTCACAGCACACATAACACATGACACATCTCTCACACCCCACATGCTCTCACACACAACAAACACATACACATCGCACACTCCTGTACACAGACGCACACTGACACACACCATCTTTATGAGTTGGCCCCACGCTGTTATTCGTTCCCCACCCTCTGCTCCCCACAGCTTCTCTGCCTGTCTTCCCAGCAGCAAGGCCTCCTCGCCTGCTCCAGCCTTTTCTCTACACCCATCAGTCCCCGAGATGATATGTGTACATCAAGAGCTCAGTGAGCCCTGATGGGCTGGCCCCGTGTCCCGCACTACTGAAGGCATCTGAGTGACACGCTGGGAGGTCACTACTCAGTGATTCTCTGAGCCTCACTTCCCAGTGACAAAGCAGGTCGAAGTCACTGGCTGCCCTCACAGGACTGGGCGGAGGAAGGGGCAGTGGTCGTTGAGCTGGCTGGAGCCCCTGCCCCCGGCCACTCCAGGGCGACCCCTGGATTCTGTTTTCTGTTCTGGGCTCCAAGCATCCTTTCACTTGGAGGAGATCCTCAGTAACAATGTAAAAATGAAAACAAGGTTTGAAAACTAAAGAAATCATGTTGGTTGTGCACATGCTTTGCAAACTGAATCTTGTATCCTGTGCAGTGGGAGAGACCTGGCCCCTCCTCAGAGTCAGCATCTGCGGGTCCCCGTCCTCCTCACTGTTGGTGTGTTCTCCTTCCTCCCAGAAAAAGAAGTCTCCTATCTGTATGTGAACACAGCCGACCTCCACTCCGGGCCCAGCTTCGTGGAGTCCCTCTTTGAAGAATTTGGTAAGTGACCCTCTCCCGACCTCAGTCTCTGGAAGGGCCCCTGGCTGGGCCGGGAGATACCTGCACCTGGGCCTGGCTCCAACATGACAACAATGGTCACTTTAGGCAAGTCCCCGAGCCTCTCTGGGCCCTGCCACGTCTGAAAGTCTAGTCAATGTACGGTAATAGGAAATCACCCCCAAATTTTGAGGAAAGGAAAGGATGAACGTGCAGGCAAGGAAGGTCTGGCACATGGGGCATTGTCTTGCCTGCTACCTCGCATTCATCAGCAGTGGCCGCTGGGACCCTGGGTTGAGCAGTGCAGTGGCACCATGGGCATGGGAGCAGCCAAGCTGGGCTGGTGCCATGTGTGTGTAATGAGTGTTTTATCTCAAGAGGAGGCTCAACACAGGGAGAAAGCTATGGGTCAAGTGAGAGAGTGTTAGGGGCTGACAGACTTAGGGAAGACATTGCTTTCGTGACATAACCCTGACAAATTTGCACAGCACTGTACCAAGCGTTATCTCATTCGATCTTGTCCATAACCCTGAGCGATAGACAAGGCCGGTTTACAGATGAGAAGACCGAGTCTCAGAGCGATGAAGTCATGGGTCGTTAGGGTTACTAATGGAGTTGGTATTGGAGGCCTTCTGACCCCAAATCCAGCCCTCTTCCTGCTCTGCCTTGCTCATCCTCGGCTTTCTCTGCCCAACGGCCTGACGCTTCATAGACTGTGACCTGAGCGACCTTCGGGATATGCCGGAGGACGATGGGGAGCCCGGCAAAGGAGCCAGCCCTGAGCCAGCCAAGAGCCCGTCTCTGAAACATGTGAGTCATGGGCTGGCTTCCCACACCCTCGGGCCCTTTGCTCCTCTGGAGGGGGCAAGGGAAGCGGCCCCCTGATGCTGGGGACGCTCCTGGATGTGCAGGGCCCTGTTCTCTCTTCCGTGTGGTAGGTAAGGGCAGAAACTGACTCATGCTGACTGTGCCCCTGCTGAGCAGTGACAATGTCCCTTTAGGCCCAAAGGGTCTGTCATGACTTGTGCTTGCAGTAACACAGATGAAGTGATAGGGAAAGCTCTGGGCCAGAAACTGAGCGGCCTTTACCCTCTTCCCTCCTGCTGTGTGGCCTCTGAGCCTGAGCTTTTCACCTACAAAATGAAGGTTTGGATCATATCTTGGGTTCCCAGCCTTGGGGCCATAGAGTTAGATCAAGGGACCCATAATCACATCAAGCATTGTGTCTCAACTGCATAACTCACTATCATCAGCATCAACCGTTCCAACTGTTGACAACTTACTATGTCCTTTACATGCGCACAGCATCTGAGTGAGGTTCTCCGCATTTTACAGGAAAGGAAACTGAGGCTCAGAGAGAATAAGTGACACGCTGATGTCCCACAACTAGAAAGTCATAGAGTGTGGCTGTAAAGCCAGGGTTCCCTGGCCCCAGAGCCTAAGCTCTTGGCCACGAGGCGACACTGCCTCACTAAATAACATCTCACATTTGCTTGTCCCGCTGCTCCTCGTGTGTGTGTGTGTGTGTGTGTGTGTGTGTGTGTGTGTGTGTGTGTAGAGGTGCTTATAGGGCACTGCAGAACTCACAGTAGCTTTTGGTAATTCTGCATGTGCTCACTCAAGTGTGTAACTCCTTCTATGTGACAGTCCACAAAACTTTTAGACATTACAGAAGCCCTGCTGCTTAAATAACTTGGATAAAAACACAGGACCAACCAAACACTCTTAAGGTTTCCCAGCTTTGCCCTTCTGCAAGTCTATCAGATATTATAGCTACTCAGTCAGATCTTGCCTTATAGGAGCACCTGCCTCCCTCTCCCCAGCCTCCTTCCTGTCATTCTGCTGCTCCCCTCTGCTCTCCTGGCCTTAGTCTCACATACCTCCTCCTTCTCCCTCCAGGCAGCAGACCTGCCTCCACCGCTCCCAAACAGGCCTCCGCCTGAGGACTACTATGAGGAGGCCCTTCCCCTGGGGCCAGGCAAGTCCCCGGAGTACATCAGCTCTCACAGTAAGTTCTGGTCCCCTTGGGAGTAGAGGGCAAGGAGTAGGAGGCTCCTCTCCTGAAGCTCCAAGCCTGGCACCCGCCAGCCATGCCCACCCCCTGAGGAGTAGCTGCCTGAGCACATGGCCTCTTTAATGATGTCCTGGGTACATCAGTGGGTGTGGACCCAGGGGTCAGGAGTTTGGGCTCTAGTCCCAGTTCTGTATGGCCTTGGGAAATCCCCTTCCTCTCTACGGGCCTCTGTTCCCTTACTCTTAAAATAAGAAAGAGGGGTAGATACATGCATGTAAATGCACTAGGGTGGAGATGCACAGATGACCACTACATCCTTTGCCTAGCCCTGAAGCCTGTGCTAACCTCAGTGCTCCTCCTCAGTGGACTGGTGAGCTAAGGCATGTTTCAGCAGAATCACAGCTTACAGGCAGATTAGGTTATGTAGGTCATGAAGTCAAAGCATATGATAAAGAAGCACATGGTCAAAATCAGAGGTCTTCAGCGGAGAGAGTGGGCACCCAGGGGATTTATGAGATTTTGTGGGAGAAGTATCAGAAGTATCTTTTACATTTAGATCAATAGCTCTTTTAAAAATTCCTATGTGAATGTTTTATAGAATTTATTAGCTAATAATAGCATGAAGCTTCTAATTAGTTTAAATATAATTATGTGTATATATACATATATATAATATAGACATACATAATAATTATTTATGCATGTGTAATTTATACATAAATATAATTATAGTTCATGATTATATTTTTACCGGTAGGTGAGCACAATAAAATAATTTAGAAGGCACTAGTACAAATTATCTTTGAAAAATCTCTTAGCCTGGCCAGCATAGCTCAGTGGTTGAGCATTGACCTATGAACCAGGAGGTCACGGTTCGATTCCCAGTCAGGGCACATGCCCGGGTTGCGGGCTTGATCCCCAGTGTGGAGCATGCAGGAGGCAGCCAATCAATGATTCCCTCTTATCATTGATGTTTTCATCTCTCTCTCCCTCTCCTTTCCTCTCTAAAATCAATAAAAATATATTTAAAAACTAAAAAATCTCTTAAGTTGACCACAAAAGGAGAGTGTCTGGTTTTGACTTGTTCTCAATCGGTCTCCTCCAGTGTTACAACAGGTGGCTGTTCCTTTGAGAATCAGATAAGTCACTGGCTTGGGTGTGGGGACTTAGCAATCCATACAAGAAAGTACATGATGTTCAGTTGCCAAGATCACATCTGGTTCTCCTGGTAACTTGGGAGAACAGTAGCCTGACATGGATAGTAGGTTGGTGAGATGGAATTCAGGGAAAGAACTGTCATAGGATGTCATTGTAATTGCTTTTGTGCTGTAAAGTCATAGATTAAGAAAAGGGTAGTGAAAATGTCTGGAAGGGGGTGGGGTGGGTGGGGTGGGGTTGGAGGGGACAAAAAAAAAAAGGGTAGTGAGGCCCAAAAGGGGCTTTCATCTCAAGTGCTAAGAAATGATGGAAAGGAACAGCAATTTAGGTGGAGTGCCACAATTTACTATGATGTACATTGAAATAAAATCCTCTACACCTAAAAGAAATAAAGGAAGGAAGGAAGGGAGAAAGAAAGGAAGGGAAAGGAAGGGAAGGGAAGGGAAGGGAAGGGAAGGGAAGGGAAGGGAAGGGAAGGGAAGGGAAGGGAAGGGAAGGAGAGAGGGAGAGAGGAAGGAAGGAAGGAAGGAAGGAAGGAAGGAAGGAAGGAAGGAAGGAAGGAAGGAAGGAAGGAAGGAAGGAAGGAAGATGATGGTTTTTGGATGACCCAGCATAGTATTTGAACATGTATATGAAAATGTTTGTGTGCTGGAATATTTTCCAACCACAAAAAAAGTAAATAGCCCTAACTGGTTTGGCTCAGTACTTAGAGCGTTGGCCCAAGGACCAAAGGGTTGCAGGCTCGATCCTTGGCCCAGGTCAGGGCATGTGTAGGAGGCAATCAATTGATGTGTCTCTCTCGCATCAATGTTTCTCTCTCTGTCTCCCCATCCTCCCTCCCATTCTCTCTAGAAATCAAGGGAACAGTATCCTCAGGTGAGGATTTTTTTTTTAAGTAAATAGAATAGGTCTCCTGTGCTGATCAGAAAAGAATTCCAAGATACATTCACTGAAAAAAATCAAACACATAATACTGCATATGACATGATTCCACTTATTTTTTAACAGTATATATGCACATGCATTCATTTTAACAATTTTTCTAGGATATGCAAGAGACTCAACAGTGCTTTCCTGTGGGAAATGAATAGAAAACTGGGTGAAGGGAACATATATTCCCACTCAAATTCTTTTGTGCTGATTATGCTTTTCACCATGGGCATATATATTTTTTATTGTAGTAAAACACACATAACAGGAAATAGACCATTTCAACCACTTTAAAGTGTCCAATCAATGGCGTTTAATACATTCACAGTGCTGTGCAGCCATCACCACTATCTAGCTCCCAAACATTCTCCTCACTGCAGAAGGAAACGCCATACCATTTAAGCAATCACTCCCTATTCCCCCACCCCCCCAGCCCCTGCCAATCACCAATCTGCTTTCTCTGTGGATTTGCCCTTTCTGGATACTTCATATAATAGAATCATACAATGTGTGGCCTTTCGATTCTCGCTTGTTTCACTTAGCATAACGTTTTCAAGGTCCATCCATGGCATTGCATATATCAGTACTTCCTTCCTTTTTCTGGCCAAATAATATTCCACATTTTGTTTATTCATCCATCAGATGGACATTTGGGTTGTTTCCCCCTTTGGGCCACTGTGGCATAGTATTTTTATGATTGCTAACTAGTTCAAACAAAGTGAAACGGTGAGGTTGGACAGGTGATCAGTGGCTTTCTCCATCCTTCATAGCCGTGGGGTCTACTGTCACTATTAGCAGCTATTTTGTCTGTGGAACAGGTGACTTTTATTTTCTCCACTGAAAAACGGGGGGTGGGGGGGTGGCAGCGGGGAGAGAAGGGAATGAAGTGCTCTGTGCCCTGAATCCCAGGTCAAGCCCCTCAGATGAGGCTCCTCCACCTCCCCACAGAGCTCACCCCCCTCTCAGCTGGCACGGAGAAGCTGCCCCTGGAAGCAGCAGGCATCCTGGGGCAGTAGGGAAGGGAGGGCCTCAGGAAGGGCCAGGGAGCTTGTCCAGGGAAAGCGTGCCAAGCCCATCAGGGAGTATCCTTCCTTTCACACAGTATCCAGCCCCAGGTGTCTGAGCACTTGGGCCAGGCTGTCCCTCCCTCTTCTCCCTCACACCTCTTCCTCCCCCACCCCCACACCCCTGGTCCTGACCCACCCAGTCCTCCTCACAGGGCATGCCACCAGCACGTGAGGCCTCAGAGTGCCTGCTGGGAAAGGCAGGCTCTGAGCCACACTTGGGAGACAGAACTGGCTGTCCCAGTCGCTGAGAATCCGAGCACTGCATTCCTCCGGAAACAGATGGACAGCAGGGTCTGGGAGCCCAGAGCAGTGCTCGGAAGAACAGCGTGGTGCGAGAGCGAGCCGGACTGGGTGAAGGAAGGCTTTCTGAAGAGGGGATGTGCCGCTGTCCCCTAAGCTGGCAGCCTTGGTCTCATCCAGGCTCTGTCACTAGCAAAATGTGTGTAGCTCAGTTTCCTCGTCTGTAAAATGGGGCTGATTCCTACATCCCTGCACTCTGGGAACTGGAGGAGACAATAAGAATAATGTGCCATGCACTGTGCTGAGAGTTTAAATGCCTGATATCACTAATCCATGGGGGAAACTGTGCTTGACACTTTAAGATGAAGAAGGTGAAACGCAGATAAAACCGTTTTCTTTCCAAGGTCACTCAGCAAATGATGGAGGCAGATTTAAACTGAAATCTGATCAATCCCAACACATACGCCCTTAACCCACTGAACTTCAGAGTGTGCTCCAGAGACGGTCTACATCAAAATAACCTTTTTTTTTTTTCAAATCCAAACCCTTGGAGTTCGATATAGTTTCTAATTTGCATATGTTTTAAAATGTCCTATTAAATAGTTGGGGGATTTTAAAGTGCAGAGTCCTCAGCCCTGTCCACCCCAGTGAATCCGAATTTCTGGGGATACAACCAAGGATCGGCAATTTAAAAAGACACCTGGTAATTCTGAATAGAACGAACTGTGAGGTAACCCCACCCCTGTACTGTGCTGCACCCCTGAGTGGGATTGTGCTGTGAAAATCCAGCACAGGCAGCTGCTGTATTCACTCTGACATGCATTAGTATTATCTCCTCTAGTCCATTTCCTCCTTTGTAGTCACAGAGGCTTAGAAGGAGAATTGCTTTGATACTAAGAGGTCGGATGTATCAGGAAGTGAGCAGAAGGGCTGAGGTGGCAAAGAATGCGGCAAAGGAAGGGGGCTGGGATACCACTCCATGTAGTACAGGGACCAAGACTCACGTCCACACACACCAGTGCTCTGGGGTCAGTGAGGAGGGGCTGACCAGGCTCTACCTGCGAAGGTCAGAGAGAAGAACATCGAGCTGGGTATTGAAGGGTGAATAGGAGTTCTCCGAGAGAAAATAACAGCACAGGGAGTAGCATGAACGAGGCCTGGAGGTGTGACAAGGCCCACCAGCAGTTCCTGGTGACAGGAGCACAGAGGGCATGTGGGGAGCTGTAGTAGATGAGACACATTGAGGAGGCCACACCCTGGCCGGGAGGGCTGCAGGGAGGGCCACTCTCTCCCCTGAGTGGGCAATGGTATCCAGGGTCTTCCCCAGCCCTGGCCCCTGGAGTCTGCCTGCATTTTTCCAAAGTGCGGCTCCTTCTGCCAACCCCACAGATGGCTGCAGCCCAGCCCACTCCATTGTGGATGGCTACTACGAGGACGCAGACAGCAGCTACCCCTCGACCAGGATGAACGGAGAAATGAAGAGCTCCTGTAAGTACCAGGCGGGCCTTCAGTAGGGTTCTGTCCCCTTGACCTGACCCTTGGCATGCATGTGCCCAACCCCCTGACCCCATTAGTGTCCCCATGGAGGCCCCAAAGCCCTTGTCCTCAATGACCTTGGGATTCAGGGGTAACATCACCAGCACAGGAGTCAGGAGCCCCTGATGGAGTCCTTGCCCTGACTCTTGGTGACCAACCTTAGACAAGTCATTCATTCTCTTTGAGCCTCCAGTTTCGTTATGTATAAAATGGGGATTTGCTGGAGTGTCATGAGAATGACTCGAGACAGTGGATGCAAAGATGATGGGGTAGTGACAGTCGCTGATGTTTACTGAGCACTCACTCACTGCTAGGCACTTAGCCAAACACTCCACATTCACTGACTCTCGCAACAGCCCAAATGGGCAGATACTATGATACTGTTGTTCACTGTGACGGTTTTACTGATGAGGAAATGGAAGCTCTGAGAAGTAAAGTCGCCAAGGCCACAAAGCTAGTGGCAAAGGTAAAGCACAGCGCCCATGCGGGTGTTTAGCCATCACCATAACCACGCCTCATACCCACCCCTTCGTGGTCCTGGGGCCCAGAGCGGGGATGCCTTCGAAGGGGTAGGGAGGTGCCACCCAGCTGATGGCACAGTGGCAGGTCCTTTCCCATGGCGCCTGCAGATAACGACTCTGACGCAATGAGCAGCTCCTACGAGTCCTACGATGAGGAGGAGGAGGACGGGAAGGGGCTGCAGCCCACGCACCAGTGGCCCTCCGAGGAGGCCTCCATGCACCTGGTGAGGGACTGCAGGATATGTGCCTTCCTGCTGCGGAAGAAGCGCTTTGGGCAGTGGGCCAAGCAGCTGACTGTCATCAAGGAGGACCAGCTCCTGGTGAGTGGGCACGGGCGTGTTCCTCTTGGCCTCTCGTGGACTTGTGCACGCGTGTGTATCTGTGTGTGTGTGGGCATGTCTGCCTCAGTTACCCTGGGCTTGCTTTGTGCACAGAGGCTCAAGCCCTGGTGCTTTGAAGATCGGTGCTCTGCCACTGGATTAGAATTTTAAAAAAAATACAAAAAACTAGAAGACCTGACATAGACTTTACCAAGAGTTGGTTTTGCCAAAGACAAACTTTTTTTATCGCTTTAAAACAATGTTTTCATTATGCAAGTAAAGTGTTTATAAAGCTAGAGCAAAACAATGTGGAAAATGATTTTTAAAAACACCATCTATAATCCCATTGACCAAGAGCCACTGTTAAGTTTTGGGGGTTTTTATTTTATTTTAGAGTACATTTATTAAAGCTGGGACAGTGAAACACAGAAGGCCTAGGGTAGAAGAAGCAACAGGAGAGCCTGGGCGGGCTGCTTTCGCTCTCCAGAAACGTTAGGGGAAGGAAGTGAGCCCAGGCGGGCTGCTGTCAGCTCACTGGGAGTCAGAGAAAAGGGGGCCTCGGAGACAGGTTCAGGGGGTTGCCCAGGACAAGCTGCCCATTGCTCCCCTGGTTGCAAGTCTCATGGGGACCCTTAGAGTTTAGGAGAAAGAAAATTCACTGAAAAAGAAGATTCAAGTGGACATGTCCCAAAGAGGGCAAGCCTGTTAAGTTGTGTTTTTTATATATTTTTATTGATTTCAGAGAGGAAGGGAGAGGGAGAGAGAGATAGACACATCAATGATGAGATAGAATAATTGATCGGCTGCATCCTACACACCCTACACTGGGGATCAAGCTCACAACCTAGGCATGTGCCCTGACCGGGAATCAAACTGTGACCTCCTGGTTCACAGATCGATGCTCAACCACTGAGCCACACCAGCTGGGCCTAAGTTTCAATATACATATTTCCACCCTCATTTTCATACATCGTTTTTTTCCAAAACTGAGCCCATGCAGCACTTGCTTTCTTAGTTTTTTTTAGTTTGCCATCTCTCATCCCTATTATGTCATAAAAGAAAATGTGCCCTTAACTCCAAAGTATAAGATTGGACAGACATAACTTCAGGAAAAAAAAATAGCTTTCTACCCAAGTCTGTTGACAAACCTTGCCTAACATACATTCATCTGAACATGACCTTTTCTCACCCTGGCGCGGTGAAAAGCTAATCCCAGTCCAGAATCAGTCCAGAGTCACGACTTACTCTTTCCTCCCCGCATGCCCTCTATTTGTCTTGACTTATGCACTAGCTAGGCCTTCTAGCACAATGTGAAAAGAAGTGGTGAGAGTGGGTGTCCTTGTCTCAGTCCACATGTCAAAGGAAAAGTTTCAGTAATTCACCATCAGGGCTCTTTGCTGTGGGTTGTTTGTAGATGTTCCTTATTACCACATTAAGGAAGTTCCCTTCTATTCCTCGTATAGGAGTTGAGTTATAAAAAGGTGCAGAATTTGATGAAACACTTTTTCTGCTTCTATTGAGATAAGTGGTGGGTCTCCTTTTCCCTGTTAGTATGCTGAATGATACAGTTGGTTTTTTAATGTTAACCACTCTTGCGTTCCTAGAATAAACCCTACTTGGTCTTGACCCATTATGCTTTCTATACATGTCTGGATTCTCTTTGCTAATATTTTGCAACTGTTATGAGAGAGATTAGCCTATAAATTTCCTTTTTTGTAATGTCATTGCCAGGTTCTGCTATCAAGGTTATGCTGGCCTCATAATAAGAACTGGGAAGTGATCACCATTATTGATAAACTATTGACTTCCCAAATCCAACCCTCTATCTCTGCTAGAATTCCCTCTCCCACATCCCTACCATGTAGCCCATTAGTAGCAAGGAGCTAACTTCCTCCCAAGCCAGCCTGTTTCTTCTCTTTAGAGAAGTTCTTTAGACTAGAATGGTCTTCCTAGTACTGTGCTAAAATTTATCTCTTCCTAATAAGTAGTTGTGCCCCCCGGGCCCCTCGGTAGCCCTTGATATCTGAAGATTGCCCAAAGATACCCCCTCTCTTCTCGGGGGTGAACAGCCCCAGCCCCTGTCTTCACGTAGTACCCACAGTTGGGCTGGGTGGGGAGGGGAGATACCTGTGGGGTAGGTAGAGCTCCCCTTTGTGCAAGGGTGTCTCCCTCCTCTACCCTCCACTCCAGGAGACCCCGACCTCTTCTCTCCCTGTCCAGTGTTATAAAAGCTCGAAAGACCGGCAGCCACATCTGAGGCTGGCACTGGATGCCTGCAATGTCATCTACGTGCCCAAGGACAGCCGGCACAAGAGGCATGAGCTGCGCTTCTCCCAGGGGGCTACGGAGATCTTGGTGCTAGCACTGCAGAGCCGGGAGCAGGCCGAGGAGTGGCTGAAGGTACAGGGAGCTGTGCCCCCTTTCCACCTGCCCTCCCTGCCCTCCCTTCCTCCCTCTCTTTCCCAGGACCAGCTCTCAGTGGGGTGGGCCCCTGCCCCTGGAAGAGCAGGCTTTGCTCCAGGGAGGGGCCGATGCCTGTGCATGGCTAGGGCTTCTGTGTGGAAATGGGCCTCGGGCATCTCCAGGAGACAGACCTCAGGCTGGAGGCCTGTGTTCTTTCTCATCATTTGAATCACCACCCTCACGTCCCTACTGAGGGCTTGTCCAGCCTGCACTGAGGCACTTCCTGGAATAGGGAGCTTAATATCTACGAAGGAAGCTGATCTGACCACTAGATAAGCTAATCCTTTTTTTCTTTTAAAAAAGGAAAACTCCATCCTTGTCTTAGGTGAAATGTGGATCCTTGAAACGTCCACTGTGGCCCAGCTTCTGCATCTTGCAGCTGCACAGAACCATTAGAGTTAGCATGTCCTGGGCTCGTACTGTGTGCCGTCTGTTGTTCTAAGAGCTTTACACACATGACCGCATTTACTCTTTGCAATGGAACTATTACTGTTTCCATTTTACAGATGAGGAAACGGAAGCACAGAGAAATTATGTGACTTGCCAAAGACCACACAGCCAAGTGGTTGGGGCCAGGATTAGAAGCTAACAGGGAAATCTACACCAAAGGCCATAGGTAGGGTGGCATAGTGACGATGAGGGAGGCCTTGGGTGACACACAAACCTGAGTTCAAGTCCCAGGCCTAAGTGGTTGTGTGACCAGCAGATGACTTCGCCTCTGTTTCCTCCTCTGATTAATGGTTCTTGTAAGAATTCTAGAGAGCATTTGACATAGTATCTGCCAGGCGGTACGTGCTCGGTAATTATCAGTGATTACTGTGCCACGATGATGAAGGCAGCACCCCCAGTCCCTTTCATGGGGCCCTCCAACCCTGCACCCTCCCTCCATTTCACTCTGACACCTTTTTCTCTCCAACTGTGATCTTCCTGCTGGAACAAAGAAACCAAACCCCTCCCTCCCCATTCTCCCTTCCTTCCTGTGATAACCAGCTCTCTCCCCCTCCCCCACCCCCTCCATGTTTAGTGTTTCTCTTTACTGCCTTTGTCTCCGGAAGGAAAGGAGGGGAGAACCTGACTGCTAGTGGAGCCTCTGCCCTCAAGGGGCAGGTGGGTCAGAGAAAGAAGCCCTAGACTGGGAGTTAAGAGACCTGTCTTAACACCCGGTTTGGGAGGCCGTTGGCCCAGAGGTTAAGGGCAGGCAACCATGGCTCCGCCTCTTGGCGCCCCATCATCCTAATGAGTAACTTAGAGACCACAGTGGTCCCTCCCCCACAGGGCTGCTGCGGGGATACAATGGGCTATTCCATGCAAAGTCACCTGACTCTGTAAACCACAAATGATGACCTGTGTTACATGATCTGGATGCTTATGCTGGGTGACCTTGGATGAGGAGGCAAATGCCTTGGCGTCTGGAGTGTCCATATCTTTGAAATAGAAGCAATAACCCTGGCTGCCCTCCAGGCTGCTGTAAATGTCCAGCACAGTCAACAGAAGTGAGTCTCTCACCCTTGTGCAGAGCAGCCCAGTTCACGTGGCCCTTCACACCCGTCATCTCGCTGGTCCTCAGACAACGTAATGAAGTTATAACCCATGTTACAGATGGGGAAACTGAGGCTCAGACAAGTGGCTTTCTCAAGGCCACACACTCATTAGCAATGGAGCAAGGTCTAAAAGCCAAGCCTCTTGGTTCCCAGCCCCATACCTTTTCAACTCGAGGGACAGATACAGGAGAAAGCTTTAAACCCTGATGTGCCCACACATGTGGCAGGAAGCCGCATCAACCTGTCTCTTCTGTCCAGTGGTCCCAACCTCTCTGCTCAGTGGCGCTGGCCACACAGACCCCATTCTTCCTTTTGCTTCCACAGCATCCCTGCCCACCTGCTCACAGCTGTGTGTCCTCCCCACAGGTCATCCGAGAGGTGAGCAAGCCCATCACAGGGGCCGAGGGGGCAGACATGCCCAGATCCCCAGTCCTCCTGTGCAAACTGGACCTGGACAAGGTACAGCTGTCTCCAGGAGTTTCCTCTGGGCCAGGCAGTGGGGGCTCGGCACAGGCTCTTCCCGGGGGGGCGGGGGGGACGACACTTGGGCTGGTGGTGAAGCAGGTACCCACAGTGGTGTCACACAAGCCAGGAGTGCCCAGTACAGAACTGGCCCCACAATAAGCACTCGATAAATTTCTAACCAATGAGTGAATGCCTATATCCAAGGTGCAGCACAAGCCAGAGGACGGGGTGACTAACTGCCAGTATTTGTCTGTCAGAGTGTGCCCCATTGAGACGTGAGTGAAGCACTCACTTAGTAGTTGGTCAGACCATTGGAAAAAAACGTGCTAGTGTCTATTCTCTGCCCAGTACTCTGGGTGATAAAGGGACTCAGCCCCAAATCCTAGGGGAAGGTTTAAGACCCACATACATGGGTCTGACATGATGTAATACAGGCTAGCAGTTATAGAATGTGACTGTGGGGCCGGCATTGTTCTAAATGCTTTGCATGTATTACCCAATTTAATTTCTACTACAACTCTTCGATGAGTTACACTTTCAGATAGGGAGCCTGTGCCCAGTAGGCACTTATTTGACCTGTCATGACTTTTTAAAATGCCAATTCATCTATTTTTCTCCATCCTCACTGTCACCTTGGTTCATCCTGTTACCCAGTCTCACCTTGCCCAGGATGACACACTCTTAAGTAGCTCTTCAGCTTCCAGTCTTGCTCCCTCTTATCACATCCCCCATGATGCCACTGGAGCCAACTTGCTAATCTGGTTGCATTACCAGTACATTAGTCTCCCACTTAAATATCTTCCCAGATCTTCGTCACCTGGTCCAAACTCCTAGGACATGTATCTCAATGTGTTATCATTAGTTGCCTTGCTCCTCAAATAGACTGTGAGAATCTCAAAGATACAACTATTCTAAGTCATCATGGTCCACCCCCATACCTGGTATGGCATCAAGCACATAACTGTTGCTGACCAATATTTGTTAGCTAATCCTCCTGAGCTGGAGTCTGGGGGAGACTGAACCAACAAGGGGCCCTCTGATGTGGGGCTGTCTGTGTCCTTCTCCAGAGGTTATCCCAAGAGAAGCAGACCTCAGACTCCGACAGCCTGGGCATGAGCGATAACTGTTCCACCCTTGGCCGCAGAGAGGCCGGCGAACATGGTAGGAGCCTGTGGGGGATCAGGTGGGGATGCCAGAGCCGGGAGGGGCGGGGGCTTGCCACACGCACGCAGTGCAGAGCAGGTCCTGACCACTCTGGAGACCTGGGTGAGGTGACCTGACCTGTCCACATCTGGAGCTGTGGGCGAGGCCTCTGGGAAGGTGAGGGGTGGGTAGACCTGGGTCACGGGTCTCCCTCCCCTCCCCTGACCCATCTCTACAGCAACAGGCAAAGGGAAGAAGAGCAGCCTGGCAGAGCTGAAGGGTTCGATGAGCAGGGCTGCAGGCCGCAAGATCACCCGCATCATCAGCTTCTCCAAGAGGAAGGCGCTGGCCGATGACCTGCCGATGTCCTCCACCGAAGAGGCGGTTCCATGCTGTGGTGGGTCCTGGGCATACTAGGCATTCACTGGAGAATTCAGACCCAGTTGACCGGGCCCCTGGGGCCAAGCCAAGAGACCCTCCAGGTTTCATCCACCTTGCCCCCAGGACAGAGGAGAGAATCCTGCCACTGGATAGCTAACCCCCACCCCATCGTTTTTCCATGTCCTCCCATCTCTACTCTCCCATGAGGACCTGACACTCAGCAGAAGGAAAAGCCAACTGACTCCCATATTTCTGTGACCTTAATTCCAGTTATTACCTGTCTCTAGGTCTCAGACTATGATGAGAGGAGAGTATCTTATTTCCCAGCATATAACATACGAGGTGTATAAAAAATATTTAAGTACTTTTCATTATAAATGCATTCAATGTGAGTTAAAAGTGGTTTGAGAGGGAAAGCGTATTATTCTGCTCATTGAAATGCAGTGTTCCATGTGCTGGAATTCAATAGAAAAATCATATATTTTATATATACAATAATACTCTAACCCTGGAAGAATAGTATAAAGGCACCTGGCTATACAGAAATATTTTGTAAGCAGAGGGATTTCTAAACCCATGGGTCACAGGACTGTACCGCCCTCATTTTATAATTCTTTATCTTGGTTAGATGCTTTTACTCCCACATGCTGCCACCAGGGGTCAGCATGATCCATTATTTTAGGGAGAGGAAAGGCGAGAGGGAGAGTTGTGTCTCTTGTTCATCATATATAGCAGTCCCTGCCCTTTTCCTCAAGCTTGGGGTGGTCCAAAGGCTGTGCGGAGAAGCGCAGATATGATTAGCAGTCCCCATTTCGCAGACAGGAAACTGAAACTCAGAAAGAGAAGAGGATGCCCGAGATCACAGGCCAGGAGAGAGCTGATCGGAAGGCCTTCTTCTAGCTAGAGAACAAGGGCTGTCCAGGCGCTGTGGCCCTGGGGCACCCTCCACCTTGGGTTTCCGCAAGGCTGGGCTGTCGGGAGGTCACACTGCGCTCTCCCCTCCCAGGCTACCTGAACGTGATGGTGAACCACGGCTGGAAGGAACGCTGGTGCCGCCTGAAGTGCAACACTCTGTATTTCCACAAGGACCGCACAGACCTCCGGACCCACGTGAATGCCATTGCCCTCGGGGGCTGTGAGGTGGCCCCGGGCTTTGGGCCCAGACACCCATTTGCCTTCAGGATCCTGCGCAACCGGCAGGAGGTGGCCATCCTGGAGGTGAGAGAAGAGAGTCCAGAGGCCCCTGGTGGTGGGAGTAAAGGGAGCCATGGCCTGGCTGCTGGCTTTTGTCTTGGGGCCTCTCTTCTTTGTGTCAACCTTTTGGCTATTTAGGTTTTATAATGTTAACAACTACCCTCTCGCGTTACAGACAAGGAAACTGAGGCCAGGGCAGCCAAGTGCTTTGTGCAAGGCTCCACCGAGGGTCAGTGGCCTCTTGGTCTCATCCTAGAACTAAAACCAGCCCCTTGGTCTTGTTTTCTTTGCCCAGTGCCCACTGCCTCTCTCGGTTCTTAAGTTCAAGAAATATTACTTCAGTAACTCACTTTTATTTTTGATAGTTTAAGATGGGTCTCTTATTCCTCTTAAATTATACAGAGCTCTCTGGCAAAAAGCGTACTTTCTGCATTCAAGTGCAGCATGTATGGGCTAAGTTGATTTTATAATAATGCTGTTTCAATGAAAACTAACATAAGTATGCATTTAGTTGACCAGCAATTTCTTGCCGATCTTCCTGTAAATAATTGGCGATTATGATACAAGAAATAATATGATTGGGTTATGTAAGAAATAGCTTCCTCTAGTGAAAAGTAAATATTTTTTAAGAAGATTCAGGAAGACTCAAACGTTCTCATATCTAAATGGTCAGGAGGGCTCTGAGGATAATGAGCAGAGACCTGAACTGAGGGGAGGGGGGGGGCTATTTGGATTCCTGGATGAGTTCTAACCTTGTTCTTCTTGGATCCCTAAGTTTTGGGTACATAACAGGTACTGTATAAATATGGGGTTGAGTGACGTGAGCAGCAGCCAACGTGAACTCAGCTTTGCCTCCACTCCTTCAGGCAAGCTGCTCAGAGGACATGGGCCGCTGGCTGGGGCTGCTGCTGGTGGAGATGGGCTCCAAAGTCACTCCCGAGGCCCTGCACTACGACTACGTGGACGTGGAGACCTTGACCAGCATCGTCAGCGCCGGGCGCAACTCCTTCCTGTAAGAGCCGGCACCCACAGCCCACAGCCGCCCAGGACCTTTCCCGTCTCGGCTCCCTCTCAGAGGCTCGGAGTCCAGCCCTGGGCACTGGGCGGGAAGGCTGAGGAGGGCTCTGTTCCCTTGGGAAGTCAGAGTGGGTGTGTTCCTCTTCCAGCAGCAGGTGTGAGCGGGCTAAAGGAGGCGGCCCAGGGTCGGGGGAAGCCTTGGATGGAGTGAGCAAAAGTGGAGAAGTCCTTTTTTATAGTGACACGGGCTCTGCTCGCATGCTGGAACCTTAGGCTCTCACACCCTCAAGCCTCTGGGCGGGCCCGGGGCTGCTACGTGGAGTTTGGTGCTAGAGGAGCTAGGCTCGCATCTCAGCTCTATCACAGTCATCAGCTCGGCTGGTTCCTTGCCGGTCTGGGTCCTCTGTTTTCTCGTTTATATAATGGAGGTGATGCATTACTTGTTTCCTGGGTGATGAGAGGCACGTGGGTCCCTGCCTAGAAAGCCCTGAACACAGCAATGGCCCAGTGCTGCCTGGGATGGTTGTATCACTAACCTTCCAGTACCCACTATGAGCTACTGCCAGAATCAAATGAGAGAGGGGACGGGAAAGCACGGGAAGCTGCAGAGTGCCGTCACAGCAGACCTTGTATCTTCTAGCTATGCAAGATCCTGCCAGGATCAGTGGCCTGAGCCCCGTGTCTATGACGATGTCCCTTACGAAAAGATGCAGGTATGATCCCTTGGGGCTGCCCAGCAACATGGCAAAGGCCACTTCTTGCTCTCCCTCTCTCTTTCCCTCACTGCAGTCGTGCGCCACTTAGTGTCAGGGATACATCCTGAGAAATGCGTCCTTAGGCAATTTCGACCTTGTGCGAACATCATAGAGTGAACTTATCACAAACCTAGATGGTACAGCTACACACCTAGGCTACAGGGTGTAGCCTACTATTCCTAGGCTACAAGTCTGTACAGCATGTTACTGTACAAAACAACATGAAATCAGTGAAGCACAAGAGAAAATGATGCAATCGAGAGACAGCAAACACAAGATGTATGAGGCTGCTTGCTGCAGGTGTAACACGGTATACCGCTTTACAGCACACTTTTTTATAAGTAGGAAGAGTACACCCTAAAATAACATTTAAAACTATAATAAATTTTTTTGAAGTATAGTAAATACATAAACAAGTACCATAGTTATTTGTTATCATCAAGTACTATGTACTGTACATAACTGTACATGCTATACTTTTTTTTTTGGTTAATCCTCACCCGAGGATATTTTTCCATTGATCCTTTAGAGCAGCAGTTCTCAACCTGTGGGTCGTGACCCCTTTGGGGATCGAACGACCCTTTCACAGGGGTCGCCTAAGACCATCAGAAAACACATATATAATTATATATTGTTTTTGTGATTAATCACTATGCTTTAATTATGTTCAATTTGTAACAATGAAATTGGAGGTCACCACAACATGAGGGGTCGCAGCTTTAGGAAAGTTGAGAACCACTGCTTTAGAGAGAGTGGAAGAGAGGGAAAGATAGAGAGAAACATCGATGTGAGAGAAACGCATTGATTGACTGCCTCCTGCATGTGCCCTGGGGAGGTGCCTACAACCAAGGTAGGTGCCCTTGCCTGAACTTGAACCCGGGACCCTTTGGTCCACAGGCCGACTGCTCTATCCACTGAGCCAAACCGGCTAGGGCTGTGCTATACTTCTATAAGACTGGCAGCACAGTAGGTTTCTTTATACCAGCATCACCACAAACACTGAACAATGCATTACAATGTTAGGACGGCTATGATGTCACTGGGCATCAGCTCCATTTTCAGCTCCATTATCATCTTATGGGACCACCATTGTATATGCTTCAACAGAAACATCATCATGCAGCACATGATGGTACTCCTTTTTTCCTTTGCCTCAGAGATTTTTTTCATTTAACCAGCAGCTGGAAGGGGAAGGATGAGGCGCAGGATGAGGAATCCCTGGAAAGGAGGCTGGGTGGTACAGTGAAAAGCTCCCAGATCAAGACGAGGAAGGGCTCTGGACACTGGAAAGCACCATTCCAGTTTGAGCCAGGTGTTGGGCTCTCCGCCCTTTAACACTCTGTGAACTAAGGCTGCTGATTCAGTGGTGTCTGGAGGAGGAGGCAATAACTGGGTGGCCACACCTGTAGGCCTTCACCTGGTGGCATCCACAGTCTGGGTTTCAGCTCCCAGGACCAAGTCTCCTGTCTTGCTCACTAAACCGAGGAGATATCAGCTCATTAATTACAGTGAGGCCTCTGTGGCCATCACACAACCCAGACTGCTCCTGCTGTGGAGCAGCCTCCATAGAGAGCCAGAAACCTACATTCTGTCAGATGCTGGTGGTGGGTCAGGCCCCACAGCGAGGGGAGAGGGGGGAACCAAGCTACCAAGGAAAGCAGACGCACATCGGGACCCCTGCCTTGGGCAGTGCTAGGTCACACTCTGAGGTCACACCTCTAGGACTCCCTTTGCATGGTCTTTCTGACACAGATGAACCAATGGATGCAGCCTGAGATCTTTCTCAGTTGCAGAGTTTAGGAGCAAGAGCTTAATACTTAAAGGAGCAAACTTTGGACTCAGGGCTCAATCTGAGTTACCTTGAGCTTCACTTCTCTGGTCTTCACTTCTGGGCTTCACACGGATATGATAAAACCTAACTGTCTGGACTATTGCAAGAGCTAACTGAAATATTTTAAGGAAAGAACTTAGCACAGGGCCTGGACAGGAAGTTCTTACACAGAAAAGTAAACCGCACTGCTGTTACTGAAATCACTATTATATTACACTAGAGGCCCAATGCATGAAATTCGTGCAAGAGTAGGCCTTCGCAGCCACGGCTGACTCGATCCCACAGCTGCAGCCCCAGCTTCATCCCAGAAGGACATCCAGAAGGACGTCCGGTCTAATTAGCAGATTATGCTTTTATTATTATAGATTATTATCATATTCCACTCGTGGTTCCTGAGCTTTGACAGATTCTGAGTGTTCTTAATACTCTTCATGCACAAATGTATAGTCAATCTATGTAACTTCTATCATTGGCGATGTCATCCATGACTTTTTTTTAACAATTCAGAAAACTTTAACGATACTTTGAAATAAGAAGAGGACAAAATATCTATGATAAATCAAATATGTCACCCATAATCTTTTCAGACTTAATTTTCCTCTCTGCACATATTCCAATTTAGGGCTATCTTCTGCTGCCCCCACCCCACAGAATGGTAGGAGGATCCAATAATATACTGCTAGTGAAGGTGGTTTATAAACTGTTGAGTGCCACACAAGTTTAAAAATGTAAAGCCAAGATCTCAGAGGTCCCGTGGCATTCACCCACTGAGCACGGACCAGAATACACCCGTGTTGATGACTCTGGGCCTACCTGCACTTCATCTTCTTCCTCCATCGCCCTCCCAGGATGAGGAGCCTGAACGTCCCACCGGTGCCCACGTGAAGCGCCACGCCTCCTCCTGCAGTGAGAAGTCCCATCGAGTGGATCCGCAGGTCAAAGTCAAGCGCCATGCCTCCAGTGAGTTCTGTGGGGGAGGGGAAAGGGTGAGGAGCAGCCCATGAGTGGAGGGAGTCTCAAAATCATTTTCCTCCAGGGATCAGGCAGGTAAATAAATGAGTGAATTGAGGTGTAAGAAAATACTCTACCATAAGGAAAACCACATCATAAGTACAGTGATGAAGGGCAGCTTGCATGTGGCCTCAGAGGAGAAACAACAAGGAGTGGGGTAGGAGAGACTGTAGGAAACTGGAGTGCTCAGGAGTGGCCGCTAAGCTCCAGCCGATGGCCACCACACAGCAGCACCAATTATTCAAGAGAGACCAGAAATCTAGACTTTGTATGAAATCTATATACGCATAAAGAAAGTACTAAAAAGAGAGGAGAGAAAGAAGCGTAAATACACACACACACACACACACACACACACACACACACATATATATTAAAAGAAATAATGGCTGAAAACTTGCCAAGTTTATTGATAAACATTATTGATATATCCAGGGTACCAGTGAAGCCCAAGTAAAATAAAAGCAAAGAGATCCACAAAGGACACATCATGGTCAAAATGCTAAAGCCAAAAGGAGAAAACCTTGAAAGTAGAAGAGAAATATATTTGTCACTTATAAAGGATCCCCAATAAGATTAACAGCTGATGTATCAGAAACAACAGAGGCTTTCCTCTTTTTTAAAAAAATATATATATTATTGATTTTTTACAGAGAGGAAGGGAGAGGGATAGAGAGTTAGAAACATCGATGAGAGAGAAACATTGGTCAGCTGCCTCCTGCACACCTCCTACTGGGGATGTGCCCGCAACCAAGGTACATGCCCTTGACTGGAATCGAACCTGGGACCCTTCAGTCCGCAGGCCGATGCTCTATCCACTGAGCCAAACCGGTCAGGGCTAAGGCTTTCCTCTTAAGATCACCTGCGCCCAGCCGGGTGTGGCTCAGTGGTTGAGCATCGACCCAGGAACCAGGAGGTCACTGGGTTCAATTCTTGGTCAGGGCACATGCCTGGGTTGCAGACCCAGTCCCCAGTAGGGGCATGCAGAAGGCAGTCAATCGATGATCCTCTCTCATCATTGATGTTTCTATCTCTCTCTCCCTCTCCCTCTCTGAAATCAATAAAAATATATTTAATTTTTTTTAAAAAATCACCTGGAATACTATTCAGCAATAAAAAGGAAAGAAGCACTGATACATACTACATTAGTGCATTAGTTACACTAGTAACTTGGACATTAAACATTCCTTATTTTCCCCTCCACTATGGAAGCCCGGATTTTTCTGGAAGATACTTGGGCCATTCTGAGGCAAATACTTTATCACCACTACTAGGAGGCCCACAGAATTATAGCTCCTTGCAACAATCTAGTTTGCTTCTTCACCACCATTTGAGTGACTCAAGGATTACAGAGTTGGGCATGAGATAAGCTATTCTCCCTGGCATCAACATAGTAAGGCAAACCAGGGCAGTGACTCCCAAGAGTGAGTCCACTCACTGGTTCAGACCCTAAGGAAGTTTTCCCTCATCTGCAATTGAAATTATAAAAATAAGCACAGTGCGGGACGTTTTCCATAAATCTAAACCTATTCCATGTCAATGACTACTTTATTCTGCATTTGTGTTCTCCCAACTCTGGGGATGTTACAATATTATTTATTTTATAAAATGTTTGGAATAATTAGATGGTAGTTGGGATTTTTAAGGGCCTTTTCTGTTATGTCAACAACCCTTTGTTGGTCTACCCATTTTCTTGATTTTACCAGTCTATAAAATTCAAAAGTCTGGGAGCCAGCTCCCCTGATATACCATTGTATATCTGGAAAGTTGGAGGAAGTAGGGGTCCCCTTCTCTGCCCTCCATGCTTTATTTACGATCTGGTTTGACTTGCAGGGTAGTTGTGGCAGGAACTGATTTTTGCATGAGTCATTGGGCAATCACTGCAATCTCTACAAGAACTGGACAGACAAGACCCACACAATTATCAGTAAATCATGGGAATCACTCCACACCCTACCAACTTGCAAAGGACCTTGTGTGGCTGACTGTAGCAACAACATACTAGTACATAAACTTTCCCTGAGAGGTTTGACTATGGCCTTGCCCCAGCTAGAGCAGTATTGCCTGGCATGGACCCTGGAGTTAGGTGTACATGGGCTCAAACCTAGGTTCTGCCATCATTAACAGTAAGATCTAACCTCTCTGTGCCTGTTTCCTCAACAATAAAATAGAGCTAATAATAACCAGTTGGGTTTTTTGTTTGTTTGTTTGTTTTTTAAATATATTTTATTGATTTTTCACAGAGAGGAAGGGAGAGGGATAGAGAGTTAAAACATCAATGAGAGAGGAACATCGATCAGCTGCCTCCTGCACACCTCCTACTGGGGATGTGCCGGCAACCAAGGTACATGCCCTTGGCCGGAATCGAACCTGGGACCTTTCAGTCCGCAGGCCGACGCTCTATCCACTGAGCCAAACCGGTTAGGGCAATGGTCGGCAAACTGCGGCTTGCGAGCCACATATGGCTCTTTGGCCCCTTGAGTGTGGCTCTTCCACAAAATACCACGTGCGGGCGCACGTACAGAGCGATTGAAACTTCGTGGCCCATGCGCAGAAGTCGGTATTTTGTGGAAGAGCCACACTCAAGGGGCCCAAGAGCTGCATGTGGCTCGCGAGCCGCAGTTTGCCAACCACGGGGTTAGGGCAATAGTCAGTTTTTATGAGAAGGAAATGGAAATGCATATAAGTGGCCCAGTACTTAGTAAATACTCAAACTTTTGCTATATTTATTTGTTTTTATATTTTTTTATTTATTTCAGAGAGGAAGGGAGAGGGAGAGAGAGATAGAAACATCAATGATGAAAGAATCATTGATTGGCTGCCTTCTGCACGCCCCCTATTGGGTATCTAGCCCGCAAACCCAGCATGTGCCCTGACAGGGAATTAAACTGTGATCTCCCGGTTCATAGGTCAACACTCAACCACTGAGCCATGCAACCGAGCTATTTGTTGTTTTTGTCCATCATCATAGTGTAGAGCCCATAGTAGACTACTAGGTCCCTCTCTACCCCCACCCATTTCCTAGTAATAAAATGGGCAATGCCTGACTTTAGCCCAAGATCTTGATTCTCTATGGATCAGAGTTATATCTACCAGTCTCCTTGTCTTACACATACTTAAGAGTTGACTATAAAATATGCCTTTTTAAAACCAAAATGTGTTATACATCACAGAATTTGTTTTATATTATTATTATTATTATTATTATTTAACCTTTACTAAGCACTTATTATTTGACAGGTACTACACTAAGTACTTTTCATGAATTATCTCATTTTGAACCTACCACAATGCTAAGAGATAAATTTGATCAATATCCACATTTACAAATGAGGAAACTATAGCTGAGGGAAAGACACAAAAACATCACTATTCTCTTTTGCCTGATGTCACACAACCAATAAAGGGCAAAAGAGAATGCAAACCTTTGTCTGGTTCCAAAGCCCTTGCTCCTCACCCCTCAGCTCTACTACCTTCCTTTTGCTCCTTGCTTCCTTAGAGCAGCCACATTAATTATATCGAGGGTTATCGCTCTAAATGTCCCCATTTTTATAGATGGAGAAGTGGAGGCTGAAAGAGACGCTAACACCACCCAAATGCCCTTCTCAGAGGTCAGAACTGAGGCCCTTTTCCTGCCTCCTAACTCTGCAGGTGCCAATCAATACAAGTATGGTAAGAACCGAGCTGAGGAGGATGCCCGGAGGTACCTGGTAGAAAAAGAGAAGCTGGAGAAAGAAAAAGAGACAATCCGGACAGAGCTGATGGCACTGCGGCAAGAAAAGAGGGCGCTAAAGGATGCCATTCGGAACAATCCAGGTACCTACATGGTGTGGTCCTGAGCGCTCTTGGAGGGCTTGGCCTTTCCCTAGAACAGATCACCTGGTTTCTTACTCAAGACAGGTGAGCTTCTCCCTCCTTCCTCCTTTTCATCACCATCATCACTACCACCACTACCACCACCACCACCACCATCATCATCCTCCTGACTAATGGAAGGGCCACCTATTTGATAACTGCTTTGGGGGTAAAGGGATAAAAAAGCATCACAAAAATGTGTACACTTAATGTAAGATGCAATCTGATTTTAGAAAAGTTAAAATGTGAAAAACAGCGTGTCCCTTAGAATTAGAGAAATAAAAGATCATTTTGAACCTCACATTAACTCATTCATTCACAGATGGGTGCTGAGCATGGCTATTTGAGCATAGGTCCAGGTGCTGGGGATGATGGACAGCACCTAGTACATAGCGAGCATGCAATATGTATTTACTGAATGAACAACTGAATGAATGAAAAGAACCCACCATTACTAGAAAACCCTCCAGTACAGCCTCCCTCAGGGCAAACATGGACCAATTTTTAAACCTAGAAAGGCCCAACATAGATAGCTCTTGGTACCAAGAAGGCTCTAATATAGATATGTTGGGTTAAACTGAATAAGCAGCAGAATCCTAGTAGGAACCCCTGGTTAATGTAAAGCTCTATGACTCTTGGTTACAAGGAACAGAAACCAAAGTTAAACTGGCGTAGTAATGAAAAAAAGAAAAATGCACTTGAAAAACTGAACAATCAGGTATATCAAGGTCAAAGGACTTAAATGATGTCACCAGGAAGTACATTTCTCCAACTCTTGCTTTGGCCTTCCTCTACATTGGTTTCATTCTCTCCAGCCCTCACCTAATCCTCTCAGCCACCCCAGCAGAGAAAACTTCTCTTCCTAGTGGCCCCCACAAACACTTCACTCGGACCAACTTTGATCCCTAAGCCAATCACTGTGACCCTGATTGAGATAGGATTATGGGCCAGGATTAAGTTATGTGCCAACCCCTTGAACTAGGATTGAGTAACACCCATCCAAACTATCCTATATAATAAAACCTTAATATGACAATAGACCGAACGGTGGAACGACGGGTCTGTATGACGTGTACTGACCACCAGGGGGCAGATGCTCAACGCAGGAGCTGCCCCCGATGGTCAGTGTGCTCCCATAGGGGGAGCTCCACTCAGCCAGAAGCTGGGCTCATGGCCTCTCCCGCCACCTCCGCTGCAGGCAGGTAGTAAGGAGCGAGGGTTCCTGGAGTGCGAGAGCCCCAGACTGTGAGAAGGATATCTGACTGCCAGCTTCGCTCCGTCCCAGCAGGCGAAAACCCCCGAGGTGTCCCGGACTGCGAGAGGGCACAGGCCAGGCTGAGGGACCCCCCAAGTGCACGAATTTTGTGCACTGGGCCTCTAGTAAATAATAATGGAGGAAATGTGGTTTCCCAGGGGGAAGAGCCGGGTTCTGTATCTAGAAGATGGGGAAATGGGTATTGGGAAGGTAAAAAACACACTACCCCAGGCCCAAAGTCCACCTCTTAACCAGGACTGAGGATAGGAAAGGTCCTCTGGAGGGGCAGACTCGGGCCTGAGGCCCTGCCAAACTGCTCGATGCTTCAGGCCAGGCTCAGCTGTTTCTCATCCATGTCTTTGGAAACAGGAGCAAAGTTAAAGGTTCTGCAGGAGGCCGTGGCCACACTGGAAGCTCAGTGTCGGGCGAAGGAAGAGCACCGGATCGACCTGGAACTGAAGCTGGTGGCTGTGAAGGAGCGCTTACAGAGGTCTCTGGCAGGGGGCCCAGCCCTGGGACTCTCCGTAGGCAGCAAGAACAAGAGTGCGGTGAGTCCACTCCCTACTACACCAGGAGCAGCTGCTCCTAATGCCCTCACATGCTACAGATCTTGCTCATCCTTTGGGGCTAGGAGTTATGCTCACTTACAGATAACAAAGGAGGCCCTAAGGGACATGCCATTGGTGGCACAGCTAGGAAGGGGACTCTCGCAGCAAGTTCTCTGGCCTGTGTTCTCTCCACTGACGCACCGCCATTTATTTGACTTTGTATCCTGAATGCAGTCTTAGAAGTGGCCTTGAGGTTACTGATAATAACTACCGTACGTTGAATAAGAATAACAAACTTGTGTTAACCAATTACCACACCATCTTAACCTGTATTGTCTCACATAGTCTTCACAGCAGTCCTATGAGATAGTACTATGCATATTCACCCCATTTGACAGACAAGGAAACTGGGATTTTTATTAAGAATTGGACTGTATGACCCAGCTGGTGTGACTCAGTGGTTGGGTATCAACCTATGAACCAGGTCACGGTTCCATTCCAGGTCAGGCACATGCTTGGGTTACAGGCTCAAGCCTCAGTAGGGGCAAGCAGGAGGCAGCCAATCAATGATTCTCTCTCATCATTGATGTTTCTATCTCTCCCTTCCAATCTGAAGTCAATTTTTAAAAAATATTAAAAATAAAATAAAAAGAATTGGACTGTATTTTTTATCATAATAGCCCTATACCTTTACATACTCTGAAAAATAGTAGGCGTGCAATAAATGTTTCAAATGAATAGATGTTCTACTTGCTTTCAGACAAGGAAATTAAGACTCAGAGAAATGAAGTAATTTGTCTGATAAGTGCAAGTTATCATTGAGAACTTTCATCTTATTATTGTCCAAGATAACAGCTGCCTGGTCAGACCACTCCCTATGACTAGGAAGTTAGGGCTGTTTCTCCCACCCTACATTTCCTCTCCATGGGGCATTTCCAACCTTACTTAAAAATTAAGAGCTTAGGAGGATTTCCAGAAGATGACGGCGTAGGTAGATGCCTATACTCACCGCCTCCACAACCACATCAAAATTACAACTAAAATACTGAACCACCATCATCCAGAATTGCTGGAAAGCTGGCTGAATGGAAGTCCTACAACTAGAGAAGAAGAAAGCACACTGAGACTCATAGGAGGTGCAGAGGCATGGAACAGGCTGGTCCGGCACCTGCATGTGCTGCTTTTTTAATCAGGAGGGAGATCACCTCTGTGGAGGCCGCCCAGAGGAGCAGGGGTCCCAACCCCACACCAGAACCCTAGCCCAGGGTCCCAGAGCTGGGAAAAGAAGTCCCTACAGGCAGTAAGAAATACAGGCTGTAAAAACCAGTGCAGATTGGGGCTCAGTAACACAGAGGCTGCTGGAGACCCAGCTATTCCTCTTAAAAGGCCAGCACCAGGAACTGAACTTACAAGGTCCTGCTTCCTCTGAGCTCCAGTACCAGGGCGAGGCTTTAGGGAACACAGACACATACGAGGAGGAAGTGGATTGTCTGGCATCATGGCAGGAACTCAGGGGCGGCTTTCCCCCAGATGGAGGTGCTCGCAGGGATCACTGTTCCTATGCTGGGACCTTCCCAGTAGATCCCAGGGCTGACTGGCGCCATGTCTGTTTGCTCTGCCCTGGTGATTCCCTAAGACCCTGCCTCATCCAATTTAAAATCCCACCCAATCTGTGTGCAGCAGGTTTTGCATATGAATGCCCTGTCCTTGTTCAGGCTAAATTCTCTCAAACAAGCTAGAGCTGGGTCAGGGAGCACCAAACCTATCAATAAAAGGCCCAAGACCCAGCACCAGCACCAGCCTGACTTGCTTCACAGCTGGGCCTTGTCTGGGCACTTCCAAACCCAATACAAAGAGGAGGAATCTGCAGATCTCTCTGTACCTCCTGCTGGGTGGCCCCATGCAGTGGCTGACTTTGCACCTCCCTAGAGACTCAAAAGCCAGTGTACCTAGTGGTCACTGTCAGACCATACCACATTACAACTCTACACATCCATAAGCAACACACTCAGGGGCAGACTCAGTGAGCAACAAAGCCCCACTGAAGCAAGTCTTGCTCCATAGAGGTGTCTCCTGCCCAGCAGCTCTCCCACTGTGGTTGCAGCTGGTCCTCACAGTCAATTGGCCTGGAGATCAGTTCCTCCCAGTGATACTAACAGCAATCAAATCTCAACTACAACAAGACTGTGCTCACAGCCCACAAAGAGGTGCACCTGGAGCTCCCAGCTCAGGTGACTGGGGAGGCTGAGCCACTGGGCCCTACAGAACACCTACTACATAAGGCCACTCTACCAACTCAAGGAGACATAGTAGCTCTACCCAATACATAGAAAGTGAAGCAGCCAAAATGTGGAGACAAAGAAACATCACAAATGAAAGAAAGGGAAGAAAGCAAAGTACTGCAGTTAGAGTTCAAAACCACAGTCGTAAGGTTACTCAAGAATCTTCTAGAAACCTCCAAAAAAAATGGAAAAGGACCAGTCAGAAATAAAGCATACATTGACTAAAATAAAGAATAATATACAACCAAGATTACTCTACCCAGCAAAACTATCATTTAGAATTGAAGATCAGATAAAGAACTTCACAAACAAGAAAACGCTAAAGGAGTTTATCACAACCAAACCAGTATTATATGAAATGTGGAAGGGTATTCTTTAAAAAGAGGAAGAAGAAGAAAAATAAAAAGGTCAAAAATATAAACAACAAAATGGCAACAAATACATACCTATCAACAACTGAATCTAAAAATCAAAATAAATGAGTAAGAAATCTAATGGACACAATAAACTGGTGAATAAAATAGAATCAGAGGCATGGAAATGGAACAGACTGACGATTCTCAGAGGGAAGGAGAGTGGGGGGTGGTAAGAGATTAAACAAAAATCTTATATGCATATATGCATTACCTATGGACACAAACAATAGGGTGACGAAGGCCTGGGGTGGGGCGGGGACCAGGTGGAGGGGAGCAATAAGGGGGGGAAAAAGAGGGACATCTGTAATAATCTCAACAATAACGATTTTTAAAAATTAAGAGCTTAAAGGCCAGGGACAAAGTCACAGAGGGCTGGTGGACAGACAAGAAGTGGTTAACTCATCCCAGCTGCTTCCTCCCACCAGTAGGCCCTGATGTTCACATTCCAAAAGACTTTCCCTCCACTTTTGACTCTTTCCATGACCTTTAGAGATAAAGTTTTCTCTAAATTCCCTGCAAGCTAAGCTGTTAATATGTCCCATGTAAGGAACTACATCCAGTAAGGTACTAAGCAATCACCTGGAAAATTTCAGGGTAGTGTAGAAAATTAGAAGGAATACAGGAGAGAAAGAGATAGGAAGAACAGTGGGGTAGGAAACCTAGCTCTCCCACTCCCCAGACATGTGACCTTGAGCAGTGACTTGACCTTCCTACTTTTCTTATCTTTACAATAAGATGACTAATAGTACCTACTTCATAGGTTTGAAAAGGCTCAATAAACTAATCCACACAATGCCTAGTATATAGTGAGGGTTCAGTCATTTCAGCTGTCATTAGCTTATTCCAAGGCCTTCCTCCCTCATCCTGTTTGATGCTAGTATATGTGTATAGTACCTTTTATATGCATTCTTTGGAGGGCAGGCTGGGTGAGGTAGACAGCACTAGACTTCACCTATGTAATTATTTCTTGTCATCAACAGGAAACTGCAAATAAACCCCAGAACAATCCTCCAGAGCAACCTCTCCCTGTCAACTGTGTTTCTGAGCTGAGGAAGAGGAGCCCATCCATCGTAACCTCCAACCAAGGACGGGTGCTGCAGAAAGCCAAGGTACAGCCCTAGATGGTTTTTCTCAGTGATAAGAGCATCGTCATGGGTTTGATTCTGGTCAAGGGCACATACTAGTACTTCGGTTGCAGGCTCGATCCCCAGCCCCAGTCAGGCTACATGCAAAAGGCAACCAATCGATGTGCAATGAAGTGTTTTTATCCTACAAGTCACACTAGACTATTCAACAAACTGATCGGTCTTGTCTTTCTGTACTTCAGGAATGGGAAATGAAGAAGACCTAGAAAGAGGATGAGAATTTTATCCAAAGGAAATACCAGCTTGTCCATCTAAGGCGGAAATGCTTTTTTCACAAGGAGCTACCAGAAGACTGAAAGTAGCCCCCACTCTCTGGGGCACCCAAAAGACCAGCCTTTATTGTCTGCATGATCAAAAGGGGTATAGGGAGGGAAGAAGTAGAAGGGAAGAGGGAAATGAAGGGCATCCCTATATAACTTTACAGAGGGTGGGAAATGGGGGTGGAGGGAGACAGACATCTGCCCAGTTGTAAAGGTTTTGTTAAATGTCTTTGCCTTCCCTTCTGAAGAAATGAAAGCACATGTGAATAAGCCATTCCATCCCACTCTCAGCATCCCATTCCCAGTCCCTAGGGCAAAGGAAGGCAGTGCTGAAGTATCAGTGATGCAATAGAGAGAGGCGACTTGATCATCCAATCACATTTGTGTTGGGCATTATTGACAGCCTTTGGGCAAGATAAATAGGCTGAAAAATCAATAGAACTATCCCTTCCTGCATAAAGGTGCACAAAAGCTATAGAGAACATGCAAATTCTACAATCATTCCTCATCTGCTTTAGGCAGATGCAGTGACCAGAACTCCAGATTTGAATTGTTTTCAAATCAGAGATCTAAGTAAGCAGCAGGCAAGGAGAGGTTCAGTTGCTGACCTATGTTAAGCTCTGAGTGATGCTCAGCGACAAGAGCATGGATTGCTAATGTCCACAAGAAGTATCGAGCTTTGTAGGGTGGGGTCATTTGCTGTCAATCAAGTCCTTTCCCTATTTTATATGATGCTCTGGCTCCAGAGTTATGGTTAGAAATGCAGGAGACACTCTTAATATGTTTATCCTCATCTTGCACTCAAGAGGCGCACCTGTCTGCTCTTCCATATCTGCCATCAAGTAAAACTGTCAGGGAGAACCAAGAGGACAGTGGCCCATTTCTGCCACATGAGTGCCTTTTACAAGCACTTGATATTTTTGTAGAGGAGCAAGGACCTCAAGTCCTGGGCAGTCTCCTTGCTGTGCCACTAATGACTTTCTCAACACTGTGAGCATTTTATAAGTCTACTACATTTCCCTCCAATAAAGATAAAACCATTGAGCTGTAGGAGCTCAGAGGTTAGCTCAAGGGGAGAGAAGGGAAATCCCATAATAACCTCTGGACACTCTGCTAGAGGCTTCACATACTTGACCCTGCCTAAGGCTTTACATACTTGAAGCCTCATCCAAACGTTTCCACCCTCTGAGGTAGCTGGAGACCAGAGCAAGAAAAATAACCTGACCCAAAGCACCCAGCCGGCCAGTGATGGAGCATAAGTTTTAGGGCTTATAGAGCTGTCTGTATCCAGACAGGGCTGGGTTTGAGCCCTGCCTCTGCCACTTACAGCTGTGACTTTGGGAAAGTCACTTGACCTCTCTCATTCTTGTTTTCCTTGCCTATCAAAACCAGGTTAACAATAGTACATCCCTCCCAAGACCATTGGGGGAATTAAGTGAGATAATACATGGGAAGCATCTTACACAGTGTCCAAGTAATAGTAAACATCTAGTCAATAGTGTTTCTTATTATTGACTTTTACATGGTAATTACAACCACCAAAAGCTATAAGGCAACAATCTGTAACTGAGTTTTCATCCAGATTCCACCTGTGTATCTTCAATAGCAGGCACTCACATACTCTGGATTGTCAATATGCTTTTTAAAATGTGAATCTGAAATGTCACCTGACAACCCAATTGTGTCATTGTTTCCCATGTAGTTATTTTGAGACTAAGTGTCTTTTTCCACCAATAAATCTTAAGACTCCTTTGAGAGGTGGACCCTAGAAAATTAATAATTAACATTTTGAAAAGAATTTTTATTTATTTATTAAATATATTTTTATTGATTTCAGAGAGGAAGGGAGAAGGTGAGATAGAAACATCAATGATGGGAGAGAATCATTGATTGGCTGCCTCCTGCACGCCCCCTATTGGGGATCGAAACGTGGGCAGGGAATTGAACTGGTGAGCTCTTGGTTCCTGGGCCAATGCTCAACCACAGAGCCACACCCAGCTGGGCTAATTAACATTTCTTGAACACTACCATGCATCAGGCACTCTGTTAGCCAGCCAGAGCCAGCTTCACAGGCATGCAACCTGTGCAGTCAGGCTTGGCAGGGTTCTGTGCTTGGTTGATTGCTCTGCTGTTGCCCTCTTAATAAATTTGGAACAAGAGGTTCCACATATTCCTTTTGTCCTTTAAATCAGCGGTCACCCACTGGTGGTCCGTGAGGTCCGAAAGGTTGGCGATCGCTGCTTTAAATTATGTAGGCAGTCCTGGTGCTAACTAATCCCTTTTCTAGGCATTATCCCTTTAGTCTTCACTAAAATCCCGTGACATAGATACTGTTATCCAAGTTTTCACAGTTCAGGAAATGGAAACCAGAAAGGTTAGATAATTGGCCAAAGCCCACAGTTAGGAAGTAGTGGAGCTAGCACGGGAATGCAAGGTCTGACCCTAGAGGCCTTCTCAGCTCCAAATGGATAAAGGCTCTATTTCGTTCATTTCTCCCCCTCCCCTTGCATTGCAGCATTCAGAATGAAGCACAGTAGCATTTAATAAATAGATGAATGAATGTATGCAGTACATTTGGTCTAAGTTGAGCAACTAAGAGAAGTGTAAAGAAAATGGCTAGCCCTAGCCGGGTTGGCTCAGTGAATAGAGTGTCAGCCTGCAGACTGAAGGGTCCCAGGTTTGATTCCCGTCAAGGGAATGTGCCCGGGTTTCGGGCTCAATCCCCAGTAGGGGATGTGCAGGAGGCAGCTGATCAATGATTCTCTCATCATTGATGTTTCTATCTATCTCTCCCTCTCCCTTCCTCTCTTAAATCAATAAAAATACGTGGTTTTTTTAAAAAGAAAACGGCTAAAGCATAGATGCCAGTTCTTGCTTGTTAAATGCTTTGTTTGGTTGTTTTTCAAAGTATAGGCTCATGGATCTGAGGTGGACTTGAAGCTCCAACCTTCCCAACACTCCCAGATGTTTGGACTATCAAACTTCTAGTGTCAGATTCTTAGCGGGGGACCTTGGGCAGGTTCACCAACCTCTCTGAGCCTCAATTTTCTTATATGGAAAAGGGGATCATAATCCCTTTTTAAGTCGTGTTGCTCTGCCCCTAAGGCCAAAAGAAAACATAAGGTGTTAGCTTCAACACATCTGAGTTGAGCCTTGGATAGAATATAAACATGCAATTCATGGAATTCATGTCCTCATGGAATTCACAGACAAACAGAGAGAAAATCTGGCCCAAATAGGTACAAGTAACCCATGTTCTGGTGCATGCACTCAAATAAGGAAGGCACACTTCTCATCCTTTAAAAAATATTTTTTTAAAACCTTAGGGACTATCCAGTAACTAGCCTGGATATGCCTTCAACCCCAACCACCAGTCACATCCTGTCAGCTTTCCATACTAAATCTCTCGAAAATACATCCACTTCTTCCTATCTCTACTCATTCCATCAAACTTCATCAATGCAGTCAACAAATATTTATTGAGCATCTATTGTACTAGATGTCAGAAATCACAGCTCTGAACAAAACAACTTCATGAAGCTCATACTCATTAGGAAAACAAGCAAAAAGAAAACAAAGCAAATAAAATACTAATATGGAAACAAAAATGTGCTGGACACACCTAAAATAATAGCTATTTTAGATAATGTCTTTGTTGAGGTGACCCTAGAACCCTTGCATGGACTGTTCCAACAGCTTGTCTCCCTACCTGTTTCTCACATCCTGAAATCTCCTCCCTACAGCAAAGTGACTCCTTTAAACATGTACAGGCTTTGTAGAATGTTCCCATTGCAATCAAAATAAGACTCATTCAAAAATTTTTGAACTACATCAGGGTACTGTTCACAGACCAAAAAGAAATCTCTACCCTAATGGAACTCACATTTTAGTGGAGTGGGGGGAGGAGGGTGGGGGAGAGAGAGATGAGAAAATTGGAGGAAGAAAAGCAGGGAACAGTGATGGAGGAAGGAGGGGTGTCAGGACCCAATATTTTATTTTATTTTCAACATATATTGTTATTGATTTCAGAGAGGGAGAGGGAGAATCATTGATCAGCTGCCTCCTGCATGCCCCACACTGGGGATTTAGCGCACAACTCAGGCATGTGCTCTGACGGGAACTGAACCACTGAGCCACACCTGCCGGGCTGGATCCTGTACACAAAAGCTATAGTGGCAATCTGATTTACATTAGGTTAATGATTTACATTAACCTAATTCATATAATTATATTAACCTAATTCATATAATTGCCACATTAATATAGTGGCAATACATTTTAGCTGTATAAAATTGTAGGTTATACGCATAATTAAATACAAAGATCTTTCTTATTCAGCACAGGTTCTCTTCTCTAATATAGTATAATTAAGCTATATTAAACCCATCTGTCAATACCTAACCTTACGTCTTACGTTGTCACCACCCCTTCCTCCAGTATTTCAGTCCCTTTCTCGCAGTACTCTTCCTCTCCACTGGATCATTGCAGAAGCTGCTTACTATTACCTGAACTACTTTCCTGCTCTTTCATTTACTCACTCCACAGCTTTCAGTTCAAATACTATTCCCTTTAGGAAAACTCCCCACATTCGGCCATATTGTATTAGTCTTCCGCAACACCATAACCCTCACCTTTAAACTTCGGTCCTATTTTGACTTTATATCGCGTTTGCATTTGTTTGTTTATAATTTCACATAAGCTCCAAAGGAGCACATCTGGGATCCCCGTGGAACCCGCGGCTAGCACCGCGCCTACGCCGTTGAAACAGAAACACATACAACGTGCAGAACCCACCGAGGACCGGAAGTGTTGCGCCCCGGCGCGGTAACAGACTGGCGCACCGGAAATGAACGTTCGCTTCCGGCATCCGGGAGCGAGAATCGCCCGCGAAGGCTGCCGGGAAGCGTGGTTTTTTGAGTGAGCGCTTCTCATCACTTGGAGCCAGTGCGCATGCGCAGCCTCTGTCGGCCTAGGTCGGGAACATGGCCGCGCGGTCCTTGTGGGCGGTCCGGCGGCGGGTGCAGCACCTCTTGGCCTCCACTGCCGCGTCCGATGGCAGGTAAGCCAGCGGAGCAGGCCGTGGGTCGGGGACGTGAGGACAATGCGGGATGAGCGAGCCGCAGGGGCAGTTGTGGACAAAAGGACTCACCAAGCCTCTCGGCCACTCCGATCAGGCGCTCGCCGCCCCATTTTACAGAGCGGCAAACTGAGGCCCACAGCCGCGCTTCATTGCCCGGCGGAGAAGGTGGGAAAACCCGAGGTCACGTCCTCGGAGGCGGGAGATCTCTTCAGCCCCGAACATGGGTTGAACTGGGCAGGTACCTCTCCCGGCCGCTTCCCCGCGGCTGTGGTGTCTGTGGGTAGATGGGACCCTCTCCCCGACTCCTGTGTGACTCCGGCCGCCCCTTCCCCGTGTTCCGGGCTTCGCTTCACCTTCAGGAAAAGGAGGGCTTGGCATTGGTGTCCCCCCCAACCGCCCTTTCCCCTGCCTTTGGGGGTCTGTGAAGTTCCAGGTGCTGTTTTTATCTATGGGCTGCGGCCGTTTTTATTGATCACTTATGCCGATGGTAGAACTATGGGCAATTTTTTGTATTAGTCCCGGTTTAATTGAGGAAACTGAGGTTTGGAAAAGTTGAGTAACTTCTCGGAATACTATTCCAGACGGGAAACCATTCAGGGCTCCAGAATCGGCGCTTGTAATTAGGAAGCAATGTTAATTATTCTCAGGAACAACTCCCTGTGGACTACTTCTTCCTCGGAATGAAGGAAATGGCTGAGTATGTGGGTGGGTCAGGTTGGACCTCTGAAATGTAAATTAATCCGCGGGGGAATCCGAAAATTTACTGTCTGCAAAGCTATTTGTCATCTTTTTATCTTCACACACCTGACCCGGCAAGCACCCCGCCCTAACACCTGGGTGAGAGGTTGCATTCGGGCCTTTTTCAAACTTTGTGGCAGTTTGTGGTGTGGGGAAGTGACCAGGAGAAAAATGGCTCCTCCTGATAAAATGCACCCCCACTCCAGTTCTGCAGGGATTGCCACAACTCCCCTCTCTTCCAGGACTTGAGGTCTGGCCACCTCCTCTCTATTGAATAAATATGGTTTGTTAGGGGTTTACGAGGAAGAAGTTATTTCATGTGTATAATCTGACACCAGTGGATTCAGGCCTGGTCTGGAAAGTCTGGGAATATGAAAGTCTTGCCTTATACTAGCTGTTCCCTCTTCCCTTTCTTGAAGCAAAACTCCTTTACCCTCTTTGAACCTTTGCTCGGATGTCACCTCAATGAGCACTCCTCAGTCTATGCCAGTTTATGTGAGTAAACCATTTTTAAAGAGCTTTTTTGTACTCACAGATTGATTTTCTTGATAATTTTACTTATCGTCAAATGACGAGGATCCAGGAGGTGTATTGGAAACCTCATTGAAGAAAAGGTCAGAGGTGCTGCAATCCTAGATCTACAAACTAGCCCCGACTCCAAATTTCCTCCTATATAAACTGAATGCAATGGCAAACATTTTAGCTGTATAAAATTGTAGGTTATACGTATAATTAAATACAAAGATCTTCCTTACTCACCTGTTTATAATTCACAGTCCATAACATATAGTGTTTTATGCATATTTAGTTGACTTGATTTTGCATATAGGTGAGTTACCATCTCAGAATTTTTCTTATTCAGCACAGGTTCTCTTCTCTAAAAGCCTTACAGTTTACAATCAAGAAGATTTAGGATTCTAGATCTAACTTCAGTTTGATAAAG